CGCTACTAACCAACTGTACTGGCCAAGTGTGAATCGCACATAGTCCATAGCGCTTAATTACATGACTAGCAATCAACTGGCAAAGTCACAGCTGTCCAACAAAGTAACAGTCACAGCTGTCCAACTGTGCTGAACAATTGTAAACCGCGCATTACGGCTAGTGAGTTATGTTGAATGTTTTATGAATTGCGTTTTTATTTAACAGACACGTTGCGGCTCGACAAGGTCACTACGCCTGTGTTGTTATGCTACTCGCCCGAGGTGCGAGGGTAAGTTGGAAAATGCATTTGAAAATTACATGATTTTTACTAGGCTTATTTTTAATTGCAGTATTTTTACATAAGTATTCTTGTGTGCAGACGGATGTAGAGAATTCAGCGGGCGAGTTGCCGGTGGAGGTATGCTCTGGTCAGTGCCAGACCGCGATCTCCCTCAACATGCAGATGGCGCTCGCAGTCTCCGACAAGCCTGTACGCTGCAGACTTCTATGCAAGTATGTATTTACAAATTAACTGAAATACCTCAATATTTTTTTTAGTTACTATTATAGTATGATATAACTAGCTGTTGCCCGCGACTTCGTCAATGTGGTATTAGAAAACATATGAACTATATAAATAACACAAAGCAACGTATCCCTCAGGAACCGGACATCTCTGGGGGATGAACCTTATCCCATGTGTACTCCAGACTTTGTTTTATATCTGTGCCAAATTTCAATAATATATGTTGAACCGTTGCAGAATGATGGAGTAAACATTAAAAAACTAAATTAATGAATCCCACGGGAACAGTAACTATTCCTGGGATAAAAAGTAGCGTATATGTTCTTCTAGACTATCCTCTACATCAGTACCAAATTTCACCGAAATCCGTTCAGCCGTTTTGCCTACAAACTCTAACAAACTTTTGCATTTATAACATTAGTTAGGTATGATTATGTATTAACAATAGTTTTTCACTGTGCAGCGATATATCGAATGGTCGCGAGCCGTACCCTGTGCCGTGTATCAACGAGGTGGACGAGACGGGCGCGCCTGACGACTTCACGTACGTGACGCGTCACGTCACGCCCGCGCCCCTACATCTGGATACCGCGCTCGCCACCATGCAGGTACATTTCTAAAGCTTTAAAATCACACTATAATTTTATTTGTAGCACGAAACTAAAAGTTTAATAGTTATTGTAATATGCAAATTTTTTTTTATTTATTTCTAAAAATATATAGTCTCTTACAGCGGATAATATATAGCCGCTGTAAGAGACTTCCTATGTTAACGTACTCAATAACAACGTAACTTCTTAATGCACGAATTTTTGAAACCGGCCCGGTAGTTTTTGAGTTATTTCAATAAATACAAAGCTTTCCTTTTTTAATTTTAGTGTAGAAAAGTTGAAGTTTAGTGAATTTTTAACGCCGGCGTCCAGAAA